GGGGGGGGAACCTCCCCAGGGAACGGCGCGTCGGCGGCGGTCGTCCGCGTCGCCTGGGCGGCGATCCCCTCCATCCCCCCTCCTCCGCCTCCTTCTCGCGCGTTTCCGCCTCCTCGGCCGCCTCCGCAGTCGTCCCCTTCTCTTCCGCCGCCGCCGTGGATGCGGTGGTAGACGAGGATGTACGCCCCTTTGGCGTTCCACCCCGTCGAGGGCTCCACCGGTGAAACCCGCGCGTCGTTGAAATTCAACCAACGCGCCTCGACGCCGTCCGGGAAACCCCCCTTTCCCCCTCCCCCGCCTTCCTTCGCGACCTTCCCGTCGTAGGTGTAATGCCCGGAGAAGGCGGTCTCGCCGTGGTGATTCACCACCCCACGGAGCTCATATAGATAGGACATGGCAGGGGAAACGGAAACGGCAGGAGAACGGGAAAGGGAAAGGGATGGAGAGGGCCGGGGCTCCGCGGTCGAACCCGCGCGATGCGTCTCCCATCGTCGGACGTAGGGCGTCATATCCAAAACGGGGGGAAACGCCATCGCGGTCGTGAGTTTCCCCCACGCCGCGATGCGGGGGTTGAACTCGAAGCGGTTGAGATGCAACACGAGCACATCCGGCAGGCTGCGAAGGTACTGCCGCGAGCTCGCGACGACGGTTTGTCGACAGCCCTCACACACCACCCCTTCCACGGCCTCCTCGCTCGAAAAGTCCTCGAGCGACTCCAACAAGGTGGGTTTGACGGGAAGGGAAAGATACAAAAAATCCTCCGCCCGCTTCGTCGCCTTCCCGCACGCTCGACATCGACGGTCGTACAAAATGACGCCGTGGAAGACCTGATTCACGACCGCCTTGAGCCTCGGCCCGCACTTACACCGCATCCAATCAATCAACAACATGAAAAACTCCTGCGCGTCGTGTTGTTTCGTCGTATCCAGGGAAAGAAACGCGGCGAAGGCGGTCGGATCCGCCCCGTGAGGATCCCGGCCGAAGGCCATCTGCGCGAACAACTCCGGTAGCGTCGATTTGATCAAAATGGATCGCCCGTCGGCCTCATCGATGGGATTCTCAACCTTCGGAGCGGAGGTGACGGCGGAAGGGGGGGGGGGAGGGGGGGGTTCCCTCCTTCCTCACTACCCGCAGCGGCCGTGGGGGAGGAGGAAAAGGAAAAGGAGCCCTCGTGTGAGGTCTCCGGCCCCTCCGTTAGATCGTCCGTGGCATCGCGCAAAATCGCTTGCCGCAGCGCCGGGATCGTGTAGAGTAGCATCAGGGTGGAGCTGAGATAACAGGTGTTGCCGAGGTTCATAATCCCCCGCCATAAACACGGCGAATCGGGTGTGATCGTGGTCGTTGCGGTTTGATCTGATAAAACACGGAGGAGGGAACCCCCTCCGGTGGAAGCCGCAGACCGATCTCCCTTCTCCTCATTAGCAATCGTGGTAGCCTCCTTTTCCGTCGTGCAAAAAGGCGATCGAATCGGCTTCTCAGCGGCGCCTCCCATCACGCAATTCAAGTAATCCTCGATGGCGCTCGGCGTGGGGCGAATCTTTTGAAGACTCGCTGTGCAACAGGGGTTGCGATCGCACATCTCAGGGGGAATCTTCACACCCTCGTTATCGGCAAGAGGGTAGTGGAGGCAGGGGAGGCGGAGGCGATAGGCGCCGCTTAAAAGATCGTATGGAAGCCGAAAGGGCTTTCCCGAGGCGGTGTAAACCTCAGACCCCTCTAGATACGCATCCTGTGAACACGGGGAAGAAATACGGAGGGATTCCTCGACGGTAGACGCGGCTTTCTGATCTTCCGCAGTGATGGAGGAAGGGGGGGAATAACGCTCGAGCCACGCGCAGAAGTTCGGATCCGGGGTGAAACCCTGAAGACGGCACTCGTTGAGAACAAGCTGCGCCCAATGGTCGACCAGTGGTAAGAAGTACAGGGTGGATGGGTCGGGTGTCTCCGAACTTGCCGGACCTCGGGTCTCTTCTTTGAGAGGATCTACCATTTTTTATTTTGTCTGGTGATTGACCAATTCTTTCGTTTGCCCTTAAAATCGGAAGATGAAAATCCTTTTTCTTCGTCGATATTGACAAAAAAAAAAGCAAGATATCACTATCTTAAAAAGAGCGAAAAAACTTGATAGGAATACCCAAAAGGTTTGCCATAAGAGATTAGGAGAGCCTTCATACCAAAGCTGAGATGGCACACACATAGGTGCAGCTCCGAATTTTTTATTCGGCATCCATAGATTCGTTTATGTTTGGCTTAGGAAATTCAGCTAGCTCCCCCTCATCCACCCATTCCTTGGACCTCGAATACGCAAAACAAGCCAAACAAAACTGACAGTTCATTGCAATAAATTAAATTGAGTCCACAACCACAGGTCATCTCACCCCTCACACAGATATCTATATCTATATAGATATAGATATTCACCGCACACGGGTAAACCCTTTGATAATAGTATGACTAAAGAAGAAAAAAAAGTCTTGGTTAGTGCAATAAAGTCAGCAGAGGGTACTGGTCCGAGAGCGAACACAACACCTTGCGTGGGGAAACGTCCGTCAAGGGGTTTTCCCCCCCTTCTTCCACGGTTTTCACCGCAGAGGCGGGGCTCCCCTGTGGAGGGCGATTCCGTTTTGAAGGATGCCTGGCTGCCTGCCACGCCGCCTCAACCGGCCCCACCTCCACCTCCACCTGCGGCCGCAACACCACCACCCGGCAGCGGCGGCGTGAAAACCCCCCTTGGGAGCGAAGAAAACAACGCTGAAACCGCCCCACCACCTCCGGCACCCCGAGCGTGGTCGAAGAAGGCCCTCGACCTCGCCGTAACTCCACCTCACGCTGCAACTCCACCCAACGATCCGTCTCTCCCGCCCATGACGTCTGAGAAGGGGGAGAAGGAGAAGTGGGGAGGGGAGGGGGAAGCCGCCAGGAGCCGTCTGCTGCGCGTCGAGAGGCAAGAGGGATGGGCACCCCCACCCCGGCATCCGCCGCCACCGCCACTATCGAATCCTCCCCACTATCCTCTTTATTCTCTTCATGGGTATCCATATCATTATCAGAATTATCCGTATCTTTATTATCCGGTATCCCCCGCGTGGTGGTGGAAGGCGTCGCCGACTCCGCCACCCCCACCCCGGCCGTGGGAACGAAGTAGTGGTAATTCGTCTGGCGATCCCGCCAGTGGGTGAAGCAGGTGTTCGTCGTGTGCTCCTCTGTCTGCGGCGCCCCAGCGACCTCCCAGGCGTCGTCGTAGCCTGGAAGGCCCTCCGATTTGCCCATAAAGACGTTTCCAACGAGGATATCCGGCCGCGCGATACGAGCGATGAAGTCGAGGGCGATCTCCCGATGCGCATCGAGCTGCCTACCCACACGCACTCCTTCTCTTCCTCCTTTTCCTTTTTCTTCTCGTTCTCCTTTTCCTCCCTCCCCTTTCTCAGCAACGTGGGTGAGGGTGAACGCGCTCCCCTCCGCACTCACCGCCGCGCTCGTGAGCGGGCGACCCCCCACCCCAAGGCTCTTCCCACGGTAGGATAAATCGACATTTGTGAGAACGTAAACGGTCGAGGCGGCGGAAAGCTCCACAGTGAGGCCGGGGGCCTCCGGCCGCAGACGAACCCTCCACGGTGAGGGCTGCCGCGCGAAGATCTGCAGCTCTCCCCTCCCCCCGTTGCGTACGGTGCCGATGAGAACGTAACGCACTGGAGAAGAAGAAGAAGCAGAAGCCCCCTCAGGTGTGAGAACACGACCGCCACGCGAATCCCCTCTTTCCTCCTCCTTCACCCCATCCTCCTCTTCTCCTTTCTCTGCCTCTTTTTTTGCTTTCTCGCCTTTCTTCTCTGCAATGGTTAGAGCAATATCCCTGTTGAGCTCCTGTTGCAGCGGCAGTCGCCAGCGCAGAAACGTCTCCGCAGGCCGAATCCCCGAAACCGACGTCGGCGCGTCTGTCTCCCTCGAAAAAGCGGAAGAAAGAGAAAGCGAATCCTCATTAAAGGCGCAAAGCGCGGCCGCCAACGCGGGGGTGGAGTCCTGCAACGCCACAACGTCCGCGGCGGACGCGCGAATCACCTCCACAATCCCTAAAAGGCGTTGCGAAACGTTCAAACGACGACGGCAGCGGTGATACGTCCGACCGGAGCCATCGACCGCCCACGAAAGAACCGCCAGAGGGGGCCTCCGACGCGCCAACGACGAGGCGCTAAGAAACCGAAACGCATGACGAACCGCCTGGGTGTCGCCCCCTCTGTTGAAAACGACAGGAAAGAGAAGGGTTAAACGGGATATCAGACCCCTTGATGGACCCGGCGACATGGACGAATGCGGAAAAGGAAAAAAAAAGGATCCCCTTCCTCGTTGGAAGCCTACCCTAACAGTGTGGCAATGTCGTCGCCAACCTTGACTGGCGGAAGTTCCTTGGAAGTAATGATAACTAAAAAAAATAATTCATAATTAACGGGAGTAGTGGCAAATATGCAGACCGCACAATATCATGAAAAATGAAATAATCACTTACAAAAAAAAATAGAAGTTGTAAACCAATATTAGTACAACACGAACTTAAGCAACTAAATCTTTGAAATGAGGAATAAGAATTAATGACTAATCTCTATAATACAAACTCAGTAACGCAGAAAAACACACAATCATAGAATTAAAAAGGCTTGAAAAATTACATTATAATCAAACATCAAAAGAAAAAAAAGGGAGAAGTCTAAACACAAAATTTTGAAAAAAACAAAAAATAACGATAAAAAATTTGCTAAATTAAAAAAAAAAAGTAAAAAAAGACATGAAAGCATAAAGTAAAGCATCAAACAACAAAATAATATACAAAATAAAGAGAATTTAAAAAATCGAATAAG